AAAACTGCTTAAAGTTACCAATAAACGTGTATAATTGTCATATCGTCACTGCACACATAATGAGTGTTTGTCTTTAGTATTAACATTCAAATACGTGATATCTGTATTAGCGATATTGTCTACGTTCCACCGGTGAGTAAACGTTAGCCTTACTATCTCGTAGTACAAATATTGCAAGAAATTGTATTTCTGAAGACATCACGATGCAGTTTTTACGATGCATCATGTCTGCACTAGCGCTTGACAAAAGCCTTGTGTTTGGGTGTTTCGGTAGTTTAAATGACTGCTCTTGATATTGTTGATTAAACTTTGATACTATGAAGAATATAAGGTTATATGAGAGTATGACTTTAGAACTTTAGAACTAAACACTGCTTATAAAGCTTAAGTGTCATGTACAAATGGGAAAGTGGAATTCCGTCAATTAGGCGGACGAATCTTAAAACTATTGATTAACATTAAAAATAAGCAATATCGGAAACATATATATGCATATAATACCTGGCAATATACACCAAATTCACCTTCTACAAAAAATAAATTTTAAAAGTCGGTTGATATTCGTTTGCGTATTTGACGATTATATAACTTGCGAAAGTATAAATCCTTTTCCTATACTCAGACATTCCTGAGCCTTGCACTTTCCTAATTATTTTGACTAAAATTATTACCGTTATCATTGTACTAGTTTATGGGAAATACGTGCCGATCAAGTACGTGCCATAACTTTATTCGACAATGTACAATTCCGAACTTATCACGAAACTGTTTATGAACCATTGTCAAATAGTGGTGACATTAAATCTAGGAAACAATACGCGAAATCGCACATGCACAGAACGGAAAATTTGGACAAGGCATTAAACAAGCCGCATGTGCAGAACGATTGATTTCAGTACTTCCTCTAAGCGCTTCGAGTACAGCCTCAAACTCGGGCCTGTAATCTAACACGCGAGAACTGACCAATGAAATCTGAGAAGTAGAAATACCGGCAGACGCTGCTGCTTGATTGACAATGTCAATCAAGAAAGGGAGGAGTTTGATGATATCGTTCTCTCCCAGTAAATTCCGATGTCAACTAACGACGTTATTTGGACGGAAAAACGATGGTTTTGAAAGCGTCCAAATAACGTCGTTTTTCCATCCAATGACCATATACGGAAAAAACGACGTTTTCGTGTTTGCAGTGTTAACAATGTATTGGTTTTTACCAGCATTTATATTGAGACATTTCCTGCTAGAGCTCAACAGTTCTTGAAATACATGGATGGCATGCGCACAGCATATCACAGGCTAAAGGGGGATGGCTGGAAACACTATGATCAGCAATTAAGACTGCGTCCCTCGCGTTACCCACTGACGCCTTGGTCTAAAATTAACCAGGAATTATGTTTGTTATTTATGACCCCACAATCGTACAATCCAGGCATGCCATATGGGCGTCATTCAGCTTACAAACCAAGATCTTCTGCCATGTTGTACACACCGGCATTTGGCACACGTCAAACTGTTACCCGCTTTGACTTCAATCGTACACAGCGAACACATCGATTTTTGCAAGTAAGTTCATATTTGTACACTTTTGTACACAATTGTGACAGCAAGCAAAAATGAAATCCCCAAACTGATTGAACTAGTAACTATCCAAGATAAAGAGACTTCTCCAATACATTTGCAAGTGTAAAAGTCCTATTTATCAGAATATCCAAGGCATAAGGAGGCATCCTACCTTTTGCAAGATTTTAATGCTTGATTTAGCAGAGGCTATACTGTAGACAAAGAGATCAGTTTAGGCAGGACCCTATCTTAAAGCGCTATTGCAAGAATGTAGAATATCTCCCATGGGATTGCACTGTGTTTGAAAAGTTTTCAACATTTTTGCAATGAGCCACACAACGCACACACCCAAAAGCCGTACTTTTCTGGGCATAGAAATAGACACAGAGGCAATGGAAACAAGAATCCCTCGTGGGAAAATCATAGAATGTCAGCAAGCAATATCAGATTTACTTCAGCAAATCAAAGACCTACTCAAACAAATACAATCACAACTGGGTTTACTGAATTTTATCTGCAGGGCCATACCAATAGGCCGTCCTTTCTCTCGCAGGCTAATTGATGCGATTCGACATGCAAAATAAACCAATCATCATATTTGCTTGACGCGAGGAGTCAAAAAGGATTTACAAGTGTGGCAGGAATTCCTGCATCAGCACAATGGAGTCTCATTGTTTCTTGATAAAGAATGGTAATCAAATACAGAGCTTCACCTTAATACCGATAGCGCTGGAGGTGAGGGGAGAGGTTTTGGCCTATATTTTGAGTATCAGTGGTTCTCTGGTACCTGGGCAACCAAGCGGAGAAAGCTGGTTTTACAGAGGACATAACCCTTTTGGAGTTCTTTCCAATTCTGGCCGCAGTAAACAAGAAAATTATGTTTCATTCAGACAACCAATCAGCTGTGACGAGTCTAAACAAATTGACGTCTAAGTCTGCATGTGTCAGGGTCCTAGTTAGGTCTTTTGTGCTTCACTGTTTACAGCGCAACATGTTCGTAAGGGCACAGTATGTCCCAGGTAGTAAGAATGTCATCGCAGATGCTATCTCTGGTTTTCAGTTTCATCACCTACCAACAGACCAACAGACATACCAAGCACAACAGGTTGAGTTAAATATTAGGCAGTCCAAGACTGATCAAACAGGCAGGCAAACGCAGCTCATAGTTGGACCTCATTCTAAATATGAAGTATGTCCCGTACAAGCTATTTATTTCGATTTGGCAATCCGGCCACGCACGCCTCCATCTCATGCTCTGTTCATTCACATCAACCATTCTCATGTTACAAGAGCACAGTTTTCAGCTTTACTGCTCAAGGTCCTCAAGTTCAGTCAACTACCAGAGGCTGCATTTAAATCTCATTCCTTCCGAATCGGGGCAGCAACAATGGCAGCCATTCAAGGCATACCACAGGAGACAATAAGGCTGTGGGGCAGATGGAAGTCAGATTGATTTAAGCGCTATATCAGAATCGGTCTGATTACTTCAATTTAAGTAGCAATGCAGAAGAGACCGAGGTTTGGGCCCTGATTCTTGCATTTCATGGCTGGGGAAGAGGGGACTCCATTGACATGAGTTGCTGCCATGTATCAAAGCAAAGCTCCATCACTACCATCCGCCAGGTACTATCCTACTACATGTTGGCTCAAATGACCTTATAGACCTTAAGGGTAAAGAGATGTGTAATCTCATGGATGGAGACATGGTTTAAATACATAAAATCCTGCCAAAAACTCGCATTATCTGGTTGGAAATGTTGTGCGCAGGAGATGGGATGCAGCTGACTCGCCAGTGGCAATTGATGGAAAACGTAAACAAGTAAACCGGTTCATGACTCCTAAGGGAAATCTTAATTTGGATAGGGCTAGGTAGCTGGGGGCAATGTTTGTTGATTAGTTACCTTCACAAGCATCCCTTTGCTATGTGTTTATGTATATGGTTGGGGGTTGGTCCAGTGGCCTGCTGGAGGGGATGTTCTGACGGCTTGTTGGGTTTTTGCTTGATTTAGCATGGCGGCTTGCTGAGTGTTAGTCGACGGCTTGTCAAAAGTGACAGGGAAGGGAGTTGATCATTGATGGTTACCCTCGTTAGTTATCTCCTCTGGGTTCTGAGCTACTCGGGTGTAATGTTTTGGCGCTCAGATATTTTATTTGCTAGGTTGCTTCGGCGGCTTGTCGACAGGGGCAGGGAGGGGAGCTGCTCATCGATTGTTCCCCTCGTGGGTTGTCTCCCCTGGGTTTTGAGCTGCTCGGGTGTTTCATAATGGCGATAGGATATTATTTGTGATAGGTATCTCCCCCAGGGTACCGCCAACAATACTGAATAAACTGCGCCCATATTTTGCCACAGACAAGTGTTTTGTTTTGTTTTCATGTTTGATGTTTTATTTGTTTTGTTTTCACGATTGGACGTCACAATAGTTGTGTACTGTCCAAATCCGCATTAAACCTAATGACTAATTGTCGGGAGGCTTGGTTATGGCATCTTCCCGAGGCAAGAGAGTAAACTGACTTTAAAAGTCCAGTTTCCACCCATGCCGAACTAGGCTGGTATTATGGAGTTACATTTTGGCTGGACTAACGAGTCTATGCATAGTCCAATCAAAATCGCGCACTGAAATCGAAATCCGGTTCGTAGAGTGTCATGCAGATTTCGGTCGACTGCAGGATTTGCAAAGCATGTTCACCGCTAACTCGTTATCAACAGATATTTTCTTAATCTTTTCATGCTTTTAATCAAGGTGCTCACGTGATTTGATGCACTTCACGATGTAAGACTCGTTTTATCACAATATATATCTTGATTTTCAATCAGATCGTCTTGACTGGGCGCAACCGTTTTGTTTGAAGCAAAGGCGAGTGATACGAGATGTGGAATCTGATTGGTCAATAGGAGGGGCATAGAAATGACATAACTCGTAATAGCCACTGGTGGCACTACGATCGAGCCCAGGAATTCCAACCTAGTTCGGCAAGGGTGGAAACTGGACTTTTATAGTCAGTTAACTCACTTGCCTCGGGAAGATGGGTTATGGGGACATGATCAGTTCTACTCTGGAAACGTATGAGGAACAGTAAAACCGTCTTAGACTAATCTACATAATGATATTTTTGGGTGGTATCCCTAATACTGACACTTGTGAAAAATTACAACTCCCCCCCCCCCCCCCCTGTTCTTCATGGTGGAACATGTGGATCCCTTGTTATTTTCACAATACCAAAATGTATCTTTTCGGTCAACTGGACCATCGTATGCATGATTATTTGTGATAGGGCTATGTTCAAATTTTCCAAATGGAGTTGTACGACTCGGACGAAGCTAGCATATGGCAGTGCTAGAGAGAATAGTGAGTTGGAGTTGGGAAAGATTGGGACGTGTCTGTACATTACACTGAATGATCATCTTTAAGTCCGTGACACCTGCTCGGCATGCATTCATAAATCTTCTTTTTTCGAAGTGGCTGCGTGACTACATGAACCCGCAAAATCAAACTGTGAGTGATTTCTTCTAATTTAGTTCAAGCCATAATACTATCAAGTCAGGGAGAATCGGTCTGAATATGATACCATCAGATGCTATATCAAACATGTGATTGTTTAATACATGAGCCGTGTGTCATGACCACACACATACATGATAATTCCCGTAAGAAGGTTAATGGTGTTAATAATATCTCTGAGTTTATATGCTTATTATGTTCTTTATTGATGAGAATGTAGGCCATCGGCCCGTGGGAGAGTGTGGCCAGTCCATAAAGGATAGAACTATCATTGCTATAGACCTTAACTATATACATGTCTGATGCACATGATAAACAAACATTGCAAGATTACACCACAGGATGCTGTAAGCATAAAAAAAACGTTTGTTGTGTTGCATGTACAAAGAATTTTCCAGGCAAATATTTATCACATAGAGCCTTATACTTCACACAGATCATATGCAATAAAATAAAATATAATCATACCAAATTCTTCTTCAAATACCCTCCTCACATACTGGACATAATGTTTGATTTCTAGCAATATTACAATATCTGTCGGTTTGTATTTAACGATTAGAACTATAACAAAATTGTGACGATGCAATACGAAATTTTGGAAGTATCATATACTTTAAATATTCTAAATCTGTTTCGAATACAAATTTATAAAAATGTTTAATGTTTTACTTTCTTTTGAGCCATTAAAAAGTGAATAGTGCCAATTATGCTCAAATGAACAATTCAGCCTTAACATCAATTTTCCAATAAAAAATTGGTATAAAATGCATTGGTAGGCGATGGTGACTTACCTGTGACTAAACATTTATTTACTTTCAGCTTATGAAAAAATAACATAGGTGAAGCATTCTTAACACTAAGAGTGTTAGCAGCTCAGTTCCTCTATCGGCCATGTCTTCAAGGTTATTCAGTTCAACTGTAAATACATCAACATCTGCAAGATATATCCCAACTAACGCCAAAGATTCAATGTATACCCATTATGGACAAAGTGGATCTGGAAGCTATGGATCAACTCTTGGAAAAGTGCATGCTGGATATATAGAGCCAATACAACATAAAGTTTTCAAATTAGCGGTGTCAATTCCTTGTCCAAGTGGTTCAGTGTTCAACATAGGAGACTATGGCACAGCAGATGGTGGCACTTCTATGGTCTTTCTGAGGCAACTGATAACACTTCTGAAACAACAACATGGCCCTGACGCCCAATTCCAGATCATTTATGAAGATCAGGGCGAAAACGACTTCAACTCGCTGTTCAGGCGATTGACTGGAATTATCCCCGATCCGCCTTCCTACCTTATTGAAATGGATAACGTTTATGCTCTTGCTTGCGGGACAGACTTCTACAAACAATGTGTACCTTCACATTCCATGCATTTCATCATGTGCATGATGTCTGTACACTGGCTATCTAAACTGCCAACAGTTTATAGGGATTCTGTCTACATATCTCACGAAAGCCTTGAGAAAGAAAAGGAAGCTTTGAGAAAACAGGCCCAGTTGGATTGGGAGAGATTCTTGCTGATGAGGAGTAGGGAAATGAAAGAAGGAGGTGTAGTTTGTGTAAGTGCTCCTGCTGAATATGTGCATCAAAAGACTGGTCGTATAAGATTCTCTGCAGAAACTTTAGTGACTCTGATGACAGACGTATGGAAATCTTTCACAGTCTCTGGCAAAATCACAAGACAGGAGTTCATTAATACAAATATCTCATTTTGTTTGCGAAACATGGACCAGATACGAGAACCATTTAAAACAGAGAAGTCCCAAGTCGTTGAATCGGGACTGCGTCTCTTGTCATCAGAATTGATTTTCAACAAAAACATCTTCTACTATTCCTGGAAGCAGAAGAAAGACGAGGAGGGAATTGATGACAGGGAGGGATTTGCCAGGGCGATGGTATCAGCCCACAGGAACTGGAGCAACCACAGCTTTATTGCAGGTCTCTCAGAGTCCCGCTTACTGGAAGACAAGGAGAAGATTGTTGATGACTTGTACGCTAATGTCACCACGGAAATTGCAAAAATGGATCCTGAAATGTTTAAGGATGATTTTTGTACCATATATGTTTTGATCAAGAAGGTATAAGAAAATGCTCATGAATATGTTTCTATTTGTCTTTCAGTAAATGTAATACTGTCGTAAATTTTGGAAGGAGTTTTAGCTCCAGAGATTTTGAAAGAATCCGCAATTTTGTCCGTTGACTTTATGTCAAACATCAAAGAAGTTTATATGTTTATATCCAGGAGAATGGTTTGTTTATTTATACTTTTTCTGGATCCTGAAATGTTTAAGGATGATCTTTGTACCATATATGTTTTGATGAAGAAGGTGTAAGAAAATACACATATGCATGTTTGTTGTTGTAAATTAGGACACTGAATTAATTTTGCAGGATTTCTGTCTAACTCACTCAACTAACAACAACATAACTACTAATGACCACATTTAGATAAAATGAAAGAGTTGAGGTTACATGTAACCATTGCCTCCTGATACAATATGTTGTCTTTGGGGTTTGGCTAGGGGTCGATCGTTTATTAAGCTGAAGTAGGCCTTGGATTTGGTTTAGAGACAGGATAGTACTTCAATCCTCTAAAACATGAAATGTTTGCCCGGAATGAAGGCGTTCAAGCGATTTTGTTTACATCACATTGTTTCGGCATATCCAGCATGTCCAACGATCAATTAAAGTTTTGTACAACCAGAGTCAATGTATGTAGAACAATTGATACACGCAAAGATTGGAGGTATTATTTCAGGTGCAGTCGCCCAAACTGATCTTAACTAATGAGGATGTCAATATGAAACTGGACGTCAAGTCGGACTGATCTGATATCAGCTGACATCACTCGTTGTCCGCAAAGTGTGTTATTTATTATACAGATAAATAAAAATATGTATATGTGGATGACCTATTATTCATGACTAATTTTATTGTTCTTGTGGGACGGAAGAATGTGTGGTTAAAACGCTCCCCCTTAAGGTAAGGTATCAATTTCTGATAAGATTAATAACAACTCAGCCTGAGACAGAAGGAGTCTGTGGAAGACATGTACAGTTAACGAGAGACGTCTTTTGACATCGGTCAGCACCAGGAACAGTAAGTGTGTAGGGTGCACGAATGGTCAAGTCGTCTAAGGAGACTCAGTTCAATTTGAAGGCTTGCATCAGTGATCCATACATATATTTTGTACCACTATTTTACCTTTATAGCCCATTTTATAGAACATGTTTCAGCAGATACTCGAGACGGATCATTCTCTGGCGTTGATGTTTTGTATTTACTGATGCCAGCATTTGCTGATCGAGGATTCCAATTCCAAATTAGCTCTTCATGGTCTTGGGGATGTCGGCGCTAACCCGTATGCGTGGGTTCCTACACAGCGTCTCCGAACTGAGTCACATTTCTTTTTTTGACATTCTGCTGCCATCATGAAATGCATGACAAATTGTTTAAAGCTGCATCTCACTCACCCGACTGGAATCGCCCAGGATAAGAGCACGTCTTTGCGAACACCTGGCATCATCAATATGTGGTAGTGAGTCATAAACGCGGGCATATTGAATCGTCGTAATTGTACCATAGACTGTTTTGTTATGATTATGGAAAAAGATGCAATGACATGCATCAGCCAAATCAGCGAGCCTGACCACCCGATCCCGTCTGTGTTGCTGAAGACCCCCGGATCTTCACAGGTGCAATACATATTGACAGCCTGGATGTACAAATGCAAATTTAAAGCCAGATTAACGCGTGCATTGAAAGGTTACCGTGTCGCGAAATACAGTGATACTATATATCGTTTCCTCATTTCAATGATTACACTGATTTCTTGACAAGACTTCTTTGACCAAAAGAGGTACCCACCTACACCGTACAGTATGTATGTTGGTAGTAATTCAACGTGGGTGGTGGTGTGGGACAGGGTATTTTTGGGCCGTACTACGTAAGTTACCTTTAATGTCACGTTTATTGAGATCCGATAATGTCGTACAGGTGATCTGACTATTAGAGTGAGTGAGTTGGGTTTAACGCCACTTTTAACAGTATTCAAGTTATATCACGGCGTGTCAGCTTAATGGGGGAGGAAAGCCCGAAGTGATGCAGGTCTAAGACGTTTACCACTTCGGTGAAACCCACGAGCACGGGTATGGTGCTGACAAACCTAGAAACATAATCGGGGCGAACCGGGATTCGAACCCACAATCATAGGTTTCTGGCGTGCCCAAGGGACGCAACTCTGCACAGCGAATCGCGGCGCCTTAGACGACTGGGCCACCCGTGCCCCCTCTGACTATTAGAATCCAAACGAGGCAGGAGTAGGGTAATTGTCTCATTATCGCCTTAATATGATGTATTCTTTGAGTAGGGCAGCCTGTGTTACGACACACGTACAGAAACACACACATACACGTACAGAAACACACACATACACGTACAGACGCACATACATACACGTACACACTGACGTAATCTAGGGAGGGACAATTTATTCTATAGGTTGTTTGTTGTGTAGACCGGCGGTCATTAGTATCCCACCTATTTGACGGAGGGTTAAATATCTGACTCAATTATGTCACTAGTTGTTATCTAGTTCTAGTGGCCTATAGTCAGCCATTAAATGTAAGGAAGGTAATATCTGAATGTGTTTTGATATCTCTCTTGAATATTTTAAATTAATTCTTGATATTCTTTTGTACTGCCCGTTGTTGACATAATGTTTAATGGATGACAATGTTTTCTCACGATATCGTCTCAAGAAACCTACAGCGGTAATATTTGAATGTGGTTTTTTTGGGTGATACTGCTCTACAAATAAACATGTGCAAAAAGTTGATGTATTTAGGGCGTGTTAGATACATCAACACATTTGCATACAGGTATGAGAAAGGTCTATTAAGCAGAAGCCATTAACATATCTGAATGAATGGTCACAAGCTGTTATGTGTCAGCGTTTTTTACCTAAATATGAAGACGACAATTGTATGGTAGACATGTGGAGGACATTTCCAAATTTGAAGCAACAGTGATAAAAGTGATGTCCGATGCAATTCCCTATTTTCACATGTACCATATGTTTCCGAATTGTTTAGATGAAAAATTGACTTGCCTTTGCATGTGTTTGTTACGGGTGCCACCGTAGGGGTAGGATACGCTGCCCTTTTCGCGAAAACCTGATATCATCACAATTTCATAGTGATACATAAACACTTGCTGATGATATAGCACAATCGTACAATCGACTCAGCTTTTAGCAGAGATTTCTTATGAATATGGAAAGGGTTTTGTCGCTTTTATTTATGTGTTTGTAAGGCCAGTCCTACTCATGTGTTGGATCGAATACTAGAATTTGCAAGATCAGGCACAGGGAGCTGTGCAGCACCCAAAACTATACAGCTCGGGATTAAATTCCAAAACATATGCTCATTTAGACGGAATGGTACAATGGGCCTCTGCTATGAGTAGAGATTGCTTATGATTATGGAAATGGTTGTCGCTTTAGTTTGCATACAATAACTACTTCACGGATATTGGTCAACGACCATACGATTATTGGCCAAATTTGTATAAAAATAACAAACTGTTACCAACTGATGTAACGCGATACATACACATATGAGAAATGGTAACTTTGTATTGAAGCGAGCACCTTTGCTAAGACACCTAATACTCTCATGGACCCGTGAAAATCCAGGCTAGAATAGGTCTTCAGCAACCAATGCTGGCCGTAAAAGGCGACTTTGCTTGTCGTAAGAGGCGACCAACGGGATCGGGTGGTCAGTCTCGCTGACGTGGATGATGAATGTCATCGATCCCAATTGCGTGGATCGATGCTCATGATATTAATCACTGGATTGCCTGGTCCATTCTCGATTATTTACACCGCCGTCATATAGCTGGAATATTGCTGAGCGCGGCGTTAAACATCAAACAACAAAATGAAAGTAATGCTCTCATGATACAGTTTTATCATGTTCTTAAGAGAACTCTCAATATGCAAACTAATTTTTGTTTATAACATTTGCTATACACGTAAATTATTAAACGAAATTGCTTCATGTAATATGAGTTTGTGTCATTACCGTAGCAGTCATATACAGTTAGAAACTAACACATTTGGACATATGTTGCCCACTTAAAGTTGATGACTGCTAACTGGGGGTCCTCGAACCCGGGTCTTCGGCGTGACGAGCTAACGCCTTAACCACTAGGCTACCCGACCGCCCCCGAAAGGAAGTACTGTTGTTGAAAGGTACATGTTGTTTGAGTTTACAGCTGTGGTCAGTTCTTGTATACTGGCTTGTCTTTTATTGGTGTGTAGGTTTAGGCATTTCTATAAGGATCATGCGGTTGGAAGGTGAACTGAACCCAACCGACAGACCTGTATTTTATGTCACCTTGATGAAATTAGGAATGTATACCATGCTGCCTCACATTGTATTCATTTCAATTACTATAAGAGAGCGTATATATCCTGTCAGAATCGCAAATTCGTAATCTGAAAAGCTAGCGTCTTAAGAAAATGCAGCGACAAAACAATTTCCTTAGTGAAAAGAGTCGATTGTACGATTCCGACTGTTTCATGAGCATGTGTTCATACCACTAGACGACGGATGCTGCCTAATGCGGCGTAAAACCAAACACAGTCAATTGCACCCTACTCATTGACATATGAAAATTAGATGGTAAAAACATTGAAAAGCGCAGTATGTATGGAAGCGTATTCAAACATGTACATATTACATATTAATTATTTCACTTGGATACACATATGTACATATATATGCAAATTCAATCAAATATAGATTCCATCTGGCTGGACGTGCGTGTATCGAATTATAACTGGCATAATTTATGTGCATATATATATATATAAAGAATATTAATCTGATTAAATGTTCGCGTATATCATGGTAATTGTGTGAATTCATCCACAGCTGCTAGGACATTACGTTCGTTTCCAACATGTTTTCCACAGCTGCTAGGACATTACCGTTCGTGTCCAACAGGTTTTCCACAGCTGCTAGGACGTTACCGTTCGTGTCCAACAGGTTTTCCACAGCTGCTTGGACGTTACCGTTAGTGACTAACAGGTTTTCCACAGCTGCTAGGACATTTACGTTCGTGTCCAAATGGGTTCTGGACAGAGCTTTCGTCATGTCTGAGAACAGGAGGAGTGATTCAGGAGAATCAGGCTGGTGCTGAAGGAGTCACACTCGTGGATTGTTGCCATGGGAGATTTGTCCACCATGATGACACGCTCGACATCCCAAAGCAAGGAGGCCATCAAGTTCCAGCTGATTGGACAGTCTTTGCCTTTTTTGGGGGGTGACGTCAATGTCAATGCATTCAATGTTTTGACTGTTGTTTGGATTCAGGATGGAAGTGATGAATCCAGGTGCCATCCATTATCACAAACAGGAAGACCCTTTCCGGTCAGGTTCAGACAGCTAGATTACCATGAGAACTGTTGAGCCTAGTATGTTTTGTATCAGATGTCGGACGGTTTGGAACCCAACGAACTCATACTGTCCTTGATAAATGCAATAATCTTGGACGCGACGTTAAACCCAATTTCACCTCACCTCACCTCATACTACAAGTCATGGGTGAAAATTGAATATAACGCTTCTGTGGAGTTAAATTCGGAGAGCCGTGGTCCCGCAGTTGATACGATTATTATATCAGTGCACGGTATTCTCTGACATGTTCTCAACACAAATTATTCATTTTTAAACTGACGCACCAGATGCCCTACAATTATCAACAAGCAAGCAACAAGTAAGAAACATTAATGTGTTACAATTAATCTTTATATTTATATTTAAGATATAACGTCGCCTGTGTGTTATTTAACGTACAAGAAAACACTGCACAGGGAATAGTGAGTGAGTGAGTTGGGTTTAACGCCGCTTTTAATATTATTCCAGTTATATCGCGGCGTGTCAGCTTAATGTGGGAGGAAAGCCCGAAGTGATGCGGGTCTCAGACGCTTACCACTTCGGTGAAACCCACGAGCACGGGTATGATGCTGACAAACCTAGAAACATAATTGGGGCGAACCGGGATTCGAACCCACAATCATAGGTTTCTGGCGTGCCCAAGGGACGCAACTCTGCACAGCGAATCGCGACGCCTTAGACGACAGGGCCACCCGTCCCCCCGCACAGGGAATAAACTATGCAGTGGTTTTATACACAAGTCGTTTATTTCTAATATGAGATATCAACATTAGGTACAGCCTCTTTAAGGATGTTGGTAAAAAGTACACGCTTTAAAAATATTTTCCGTATTTAAATAATGATGACTCCGTGAATAGATTCCAACCGCGGAAATGTCGGACAAGTCCATTTCACGAATAGGTGGGTTAAATTGTTTTTTCCCGCATATTCTCACAACCCTCCTGTCCATTATCTGTACCTTTGTGAGAAATCAACATTATGTGTAGCCGCAATAAGAATATTCACCAAATGTTGACTCCTGAATAGGCGCTCAGCATTAAGGGGCTAAAACAACGACTGGTCGGCTCGGAGTCAATATACTGTGTCTAAGTGGGGTACGCATGTTAAACTGCGGCATGGTTTCTCAGTGAGCTAGCACTATAAATCAGCATTAGTCCGGACTAGTACAAGCAGCCACACATACACGTGCATGCACGTCGCTATATAAGTGCAATAATCTTGTCGCGACGTTAAACCCCATTTCACCTCACCTCACCTGTTTCTTTAAGATTTTCTTTGGATTTTGTGGCTAGCAGCTCCAAAGTAGGGTGAGAGGTTGATCACAAAGGGTACAGATTGATGGAGGGAAAATTGCTGGTGACAACAGTGAAAACGTGTTTCAGATGATTTAGTTCAGTGGCAAGATGTTGCTTGGTAGAACAGATGTAGTGAGCTCGTCTTGCTGAGGTTGAGATAACTCCTTTCTTGACTTGAGGTTGGTGGTTGGAGACAGAGTGAAGATACTGACCTGTTCGGTGGTTTCCGGCAAACAGTGGTCTGGAGCTTGTTATTGTCTTTCTTTTCAATTATAACAGTTTTTTTACTATATAATTGTAATAATGAAGTTGTTCATCCATCCATACATACTCATCGCCAAAAGAAACGAGAACATCATACATGTTGGTTAATAAACCGACGTCCAAAAGAAACTTTACCAACTGAAAATATAAATTTCAGACAAAGTATAATCTATTTTTCGATGAAGTCTATGTAAAACACATAACCTAAATACAACAATAGTGTATGCAGAAAATGTTAATCGTCTCTTACATGTTTGCGAGATAACACGCGAAAAAGTGAAAAACACGTGCACCACGGACAACTGCAAATGCACGTGCGGGTAAGGGTATAAAACGATTGCAACGGCAAGTCAGACATCCAAAGTGATAAAAAACACAAAAGAAATGCCACGACTCACAATTGAACAACGTGAACGAGCCTTGGGTATGGTACAGATGCGAGCCAGCTAAGCCCATATTGCACGAACCTTCGGTTGATCCCGTGTTGCCGTTACCAACTTGATGCAACGTTACAGACAGACAGGACGGACCGATGACAGGCCAAGAACAGGGTGACCAGGCCCCATGATGACCGGTACTTGCGACAAATGCCTTAGGTCGCAGGGTTAGTCGACAGACAGTGGCCAGGAGACTCCGGGCTCATGGAATCAGGGCTTTTAGACCATACAGGGGAAAGCTATTGGACTGCGATTGGTTTCAAACTCTGGTAAAGTTTCTTTTGGACGTCAGTTTATATGAAGAATTATTCAAATTCAAGATAATCGTTTCCATGCACAAACGAACATGCTGATATGTTGTGTGGACCGATGCTCATAAACGCATCACATGTGACGTCAGAGATCCACGACCCGAAATGCACCGTTTGTCTCGTACAAATTAGACTGCAAAGTTTGGAAATCACGTGCAGCATATCGAGAAAAGAATAAAGACACTTGAATGATCTCTTCGTAACGTACATAATTCTCTATATGTTTCTATGGTTTGCGTTTCTTTTTGCTGTGAGTATATCTTATCCTTACTTGAATGTCATGCCCATCTCGAACCAAACCTCCGGTCTCATAATATAATTGGTTCCTTCATATAAACAACCGCGGAGGGTGGAGGGTGGAGGGTGATTAAACTTGAACGTCTATCAACTCGCGACAATCGTGTCAACGCGGGGTTCCCGTAGCAATGAACCCGTATCTAAACTCACTGCTCTACTTACAGTTGTCACAAAGGCCTGGTGGATGCATTCAAGCATTTAGTCGAACAAACTCAGAATGAAGAAGGCCATTCAGATCCAGGCCTCAATGCAAGGGCGAACAGGTTCATTTCAAGCTCGTCTATACCCATTTCAACCCTTGAAGGCTGCGTGCCCAGCCAGCCATCATTTGCAGTGCCTTATCAAGCCAAGGAACATATTTGAAGGTCTGTTTTACTTTAAATGTTTTAGTAATTCGTTCATTGTCTCCATGGTTAATTTGAATCAACCAAGCAATGCATGTTCACATGAGCGACAACTTGACCCATGACATAGGGAGCAAGCATTTGATTTTCCGTTGTATGTGTGTGTGTGTGTGGGGGGGGGGGGGGGGGGGGGGGATTGCAGACGAGTGATCAAAGGATGCGGTTTATTTTAATGTACTTCACCTTTTCATGCAGGCGAGTGATCAAAGGATGCGGTTTATTTTAATGTACTTCAAAGAAAAAACAGTTGAGCTGTTTATGTTGCAGAAAATAATTGCGCAATATATAATGAATGTGGGATCTCAACCGCCCACTTCGGAAAGGATATTCATTTAAAGATAACTGCCTTATCATGGACCCACATCGTCACATTCTGTGAAGCCTGTTTACAGACATAGGTTGAGTTCAAAAATGGGGAAAATGTTATAATCAGTTCATGGGGATGATACAGCTTGTATCCGACGTAACAACGTCATGTCTAATATCCAGATATTATCCACATGCTTTTGCAATAACAAAAAAAAACCGTGTGTTTCTGCTCGGATTGGCAAAGTCAAAACAAGGTTATTTGGTCAACCAAGAAGTTTTACTTAAGTTTAAGTCATACAGATGATCTGATATCGTTCAAAATTATTCAAATAGACGATTCTCTGCCACTGATTTACCCACCTGAACTACGAGTAGAGTAGACAAATGGCCAGTGAAGCAGCCTCATCTGTTTTATTTTAGATCTATGAATGAACCTTTAGAGTGACCATAAATACCCATAAGACTGGGTGACAAAGGGATGACTTCAGTCTTCCGTTTAGTTCCAGAAATATTACAGCAGCTCCAGCATTTGGAGTTTACGTTACACAATTTGTAAGGTACAATCGAGCATGCTCTTTCTCGAATATTTCAAAAGAAGTTATACGATTCTTGCTCTGAAGTTGTTTGATGAGAGTGTCAATACCAAAGGCCGTAGTTCAACTTTCAAAACGTTTGTTGGTGGACATGTAGACGACATTTCTAAATATGACGCATCAGTGACAAACATTATGTCCAATGCAATGCCTTATTTTGACTTCGTGTGAACATTTGACTTGCCTTTGCTTGTGTTTGTGACGGATTCCACCAATGAGGCAGGATACGCTTTCCTTTGAGGCAACGCGGGGCATCATCACTATGTGATGGTGATTCATACACATATGCTTATAATATGGTCGGAATTGTACAGTGGGCAAAGGGGTTTTGTTACGATTTTGGAAAGTGTTGTGTCGTTTTTATTTACGAACATGCCTAAAACACCATCCCTATAAAATAGGTGTCACCATCCTGGCAACAGGGTCGGATCAGATCCATTTATCAACTTTCGAATAAACGCCAAGTTATTAACGTTATTATTAACAAGTTATTGTTCCCCAGCAAATGTATCAAGTGAGCGGTTGACTTGATTGATTGCATGGCAATGAACAACGCATGCAGATTTTTATAGGGTATTTATAATGTTTTGACATTTCTACAGATTGTTGTTCTGAAAAACCAAGTCGGCTGAAAAACAATGACATTTTTGCATTGTGTTGTAATACATGTGCCCTATCATTGATAGACAGGACAATTGCTGTTTTCACAACAAGAACGCATAACAGTTTTAGAGTTAATGGTTAGATTTCTTGGTTTTCTTTCTCGTTTGCTTTTTTTCATGTTTTTCACAAAATTCAAATTTCAGCATATAATGAAAATGAGGTCACCACGCAGGAATGACTAATCAAGTAAGGATAGGATATATGGATGAACAACTTCTTTATTACAATTAGGAGCGGCGTGTCGGTGCAGGTTCTAACACCGTTATGAAGCAAGTGATGTACAGAGTATGGTTGACAAGTATATATACAGGGTAGGAGGCATTGTTTGTACAGTTCAGTAGTTATAAGATGCAGTTACACTGGAATGGAGAAGCCTGTTAAGTACAAAGAAGTGAGTCATCAAGGTACCTACCATAAAATGAACCCCTGCCGGGACTTAATAAGATAATCAGAGCTCACTCGCCCCTGAAGTATTACCACTTATATGACAATATTTTGTTTGAAACATATAAATTGAAACTGCATTGGCATATAAGCCACAGACTTATGTGACTGCCTCTCCAGAAAATATGATACAATTATCAAAATCTCTCTCCTGTTAAACAGTATACATTCATAAACGGGAGATAGATGTGTAACCATACAGTTACAGACCCATGGACTGACTGAGCGAGGTTAAGTTCATGTCATAAAATTGACCTCTTCCCGGGACATAATAGGACAATCAAGGCTCACTCGCCCATGAAATTATTACCACTTGTATGACAAAAGTTTGTTTGAAACATGGTGATTTGGGTATGTTGTAGCATGTACGTGTTTTAGTATGAAGTGTATATAACATGTGACACTACAATAAAATCTCTCTCTCTCTCTCTCGCTCTCTCTCTCTCTCTCTCCCTCCCTCCCTCCCTCCCTCCCTCCCTCTCTCTCTCTCTCTCTGAATCTCTATCTATCTCTCTCTAGCTCTCTCTCTCTCTCTCTGATAGACAATACCGCAGTTTAATATGGATGCAGACACATTGTACAGACTCCGAGCCGACCAGCTTTCTCTGGCTTTATCATTGGATTGAATGGAATAAAACACATGCATAGTATTAAGTGTATGTGTCTGTTTGTGTGTGTCATACTGATTGCGTGAAGCTTATGTCAGTAGATTTGTTTGAAAGAGTATACTTTCTATAAACCATATAAAACACAGTTACACGTTCCTTTAACACTACATCATCAGGACAATCGCTCATTATACAAGAGCATACGCATATTTGAAAAAGAAAAAATGTCACTTGCACGATGGTTCAAACGACTGACACTATCGGTTCGATAACACGTTTTCACACCTCTTAACACTCTCTTAACATTGCATATGAAACTATCTTTTTGTAGAATAGCCTCCCCGGGTGTACCCACATGTAAACTATCAATAGACAACTGGACATGCACATGCTGTTGCTACCTTTTAGTCATATTTAGAAATAAAACGACAGTTGTTTGTCTACTATTTCAAGCTTTCAAATTGTTAATTTGTGAAGTGATTAAGTAAAAACAGTAAAGTACGGTTATAACGAACTCAAAGGGACTACTAATTTTTGTTCGTTATAACCGTAATTCGTTATAAGCATATATACAGCATAACTTTAGCATATAGTCGGGACTAAAAAGTTAGTTCGTTATATCCGTTAGTTCGTTATAAGCGTGTTCGTTATAACCGTAGTTTACTGTATTCCACTTCAATATTAACTTGAATATGTAAGTGAAATATATATTTAAATCTACATGTATTTTGTCGAAGCGCGTGTATGGATTTCAAGGCTAATTTGTCTATCCCTACCCACACACTGTAGGAGATGAGTGGGGCAGGACTACAAAAGCACGGTTCGTTTGAGCCCTAATCAACCACGTTTCTTCCGGATTGCCCCCAGCCATTGATACTGCGAAAACATTTACATAATTTGTCCATGATAGACTTTATACAAAGTTTAACTATTTAATTTTGGTGTTTTTTGTTTGTTTGTTTTTGTTTAACGCCGCACTCAGCAATATTCCAGCTATATGACGGCGGTCTGCAAATAATCGATTCTGGACCAGGCAATCCAGTGATTTACATCATGAACATCGATCCACGCAATTGGGATACGATGACATGCATCAACCAAGTCAGCGAGCCCGACCACCCGATCCCGTTAGTCGCCTTTTACGACAAGCATAGTCGCCTTTTACGGCAAGCATGGGTTGCTGAAGACCTATTCTACCCTGGGTCTTCACGGGTCTAACTATTTAATGTAAAGGGGCAATAATGTCACTCTGGATAACTGGGTATAATGAAGCATCGACTTTTTGTTTGGGTTACATGGCTGATTTGGCTATTCATATCCTATATTTCGATTTAGCCTTTAACAAGCATGTTTCGGACATGGCACCAGTTAATAGCTATGTGAATATGTTGCATAATTTGCATAAATGGGCAATTAACATTTTATTTTAAATCGGATGCTGTGCTATGTTAAAATGATAACAGTCGTCAGATAAGTGTGAGTCGCCTTCGTTACATGCTTCAAGGAATCTTAACTGCAAGCTTTGCTTCCATGAACCTGACTTGGAGTAGGGGCGGTTATACCAAATGTTTCATTGTGCATTCATGGACTAACATTGTTTGTATCCGTGTATATATCAATATCAATATACTATGAACATTGTTGTTTAACGCCGCACCCACCAATAGTCCAGCAATATGACGGTGGTCTGTACATAATCGTGCCTGGACCAGACAATCCAGTGATCGATGTATGCATTTCGGATACGATGTCAACCATGTCAGCGAGCCTGACCACCTGATCCCGTCAGCTGCTTCTTACAACAAGTTGGTTGCTGAAGACCAATTCTAACCCGGATCTTCACAGGTCTACTTTTGTGTACATAATATTAATTAAGTAATATTTTTTGTCTTATCCATTTTGCACGGAGAAGCAATGTTTAAAAGTTTTGTTAGGTAAACTGGTGATTTTCCTGATGGTCACACATGTGCATGTCACTACCACAGGATACATTGTCTCGTTTGACTCTCGCCGTATATAAGTAGCTACGAAGGAACGTACGTATAATTAATTCTATGTTTTACTGACTCACTCTACTGCAGATCTGATAACCACGCTGGAATAAACCTATCACAGAACTATGCCTGGAAAGGTCATCATAGATGGAGAGGTTGGTATGGAAATGATACAAGACGTTTCTGAAGATGCTGCCCCCAGAGACGGTACAGAAGGCAGAGGAAAGTGGAGCAGACATCTTGATTATATTCTGTCGATGGTGGGCTTCTGTGTTGGGTTCGGCAACTTGTGGAGGTTCCCGTACGTCTGTAACAGGAATGGCGGAGGTGAGTAGTTATGCCATTTTCTGTTCAGCTTTGAATTGTTCTAGATTTAAAGTGTGACTGAGTGAGTGGTGAATTTACTTCGCATCTGTTTACAAAAGTCCGTCAATCCCAACCCAGTTACGATGCTTTTATGACACGTTCATATCAACAAAAGCGCCATGGATGCTATACCCATATCAGCATTAGACAACGCATTCTTCATGTTAACCATGTTCTACAACTTCAGTGTATTGCAGCATCACCATCATAAACTGTTACCTTTATCTGATCGTTGTGTAACATTATCGTAAATACGTTGATTCATATATGCCATTAGACCCGTGACGATCCGGGGCAGAATAGGTCTTCAGCAGCCCATGCTTGCCGTAAAATGCGACTATGCTTGTCGAAAGAGGCGAGGATCGGGTGGTCAGACTCGCAGACTTGGTTGATGCATGTCATCGGTCCCAATTGCGGGGTCGATCCCAGTAGCATGGATCGATGCTCGTGATATTAATCACTGGATTGTCTGGTCCAGAATCAATTATTTACAGACCGCCGTCATATAGCTGGAATATTGCTGAGTGCGGCGTTAAACAACAAACAAACAAACATATATGCTATTAAAATTTAGGACGTAACATATTCACCCAGAACCGGAAGGAAACAATGGGAACATTATCACATGGTGAAGGCATGAATTAAAAATGTCAATATTACCATCAAGTCCCTTTTCATTTTGTACACACTTGGTTTAGAATATTTGGTCGAATGGGCACAACTGGCATTGAGGGCACGTGCCCTCCTTATTTGCAGAGATCAACAAATTGTGTCTTCGAAGCATGGACTGAGGCTTATAATGACATGCAGGACCTGGGTCTCACGAGAGTTGTGATCATATGTTTGACATGAAATGTCCGCAGTGCTCTTACATTGTGTTGTTAAGTCCCAAATCACACACATCATTCCTTCATTACAGGAGCCTTCCTCATCCCATATGTGCTGTTTCTCATCATCACTGCTTTCCCAATGTTCTTCCTGGAGGCATCCATCTCTCAGTTCTCAGGAAAGGGAACGGTTCATGTGTGGAGCTTTTGTCCAATGTTAAAAGGTATGGTGTATCAAAATGTTTTCGAGATGTGGACATTTCAACTTTCCCCATTTCCAAATTTGCCGCATCAGTGATCAAACTGATATATCACCCTACTTTGTCTTGTACCATGTGTTTCCGCGTTTTTCAGGTGAACACTTTATTTGATTGAATTTGCGTGTTTCTTATGGGTGCCATTGGTAGGTCAGGATGCGCTCACTTTTTGCGATCACCTGGTAAATCATAGAACATGTCAGTATTGTTACAATTTCCTTGCGAGATTTGTGGATGTACAATAAGATCAAATCAAATTATATTATGCGCTTCATATTTAGGTCTTCAGCAACCCATGCTTGCCGTAAATGGCGACTAACGGGATCGGGAGGTCAGGATCGCTGACTTGGTTTATGTATGTCATCGTATCCCAATTGCGTGGATCGATGCGCATGATGTCAATCACTGGATTGTCTGGTCCAGACTCTATTATTTACAGATCGCCGTCATATAGCTGGAATATTGCTGCGGCGTTAAACAAGAAACAAATCATATTTAGGACAACAATATACAGATGTATGCTTACTTCAATCTATCTTACTTCAACACATTGTATAAACCTGAAGGACGAAACGACCGACCAAAAATAGTTCTGGAGCTGCTTAACATACATAGCCTGACCATCAACAAGTTAACGCTGAACTACTTTCCATTTCCCTGTTCAAACATGCCATTTCAACAGTATTATACTACATAATTATATTGTATTATAATGTATATGTATTGTAACATTTACATCCTTTCTAATGCTATGTAATTCTAAACAAAGACAAATCAAGTCTGGAACAATAGGTTTGTGACAGGAAGTCAAATGTGACTTGAATTATTGCTATTCAAACTATTATTCGCTTCAAAAATATTATTATCATCATAATAATATTATTTGACTGTGGGTGAGATGAACTTCACTACTTCAATTAAAGTCTTTGAAAAACATGATTCTGGTGAACAGTGCTTTACAGAAGTATATGCTTCTGATCACGTAACCTACAAGGCAACATATAGTCCACACGAGAAAATTGGATTTGACCAAAATATTGCAAACGTTACTAGACTGAAAACATTCACAGAAACACTTCAAACTTGATATACAACACAACTGTGATAACCGTATCAAATGCACCACCATCCAATAACCATTTCGTGTCTGTTTCATATTTAGCTTCAGTAAACTACGGTTATAACGAACTCAAAGGGACTTTTAGGGACATATTTTAGTTCGTTATAACCGTAGTTCGTTATAAGTACATATACAGCATGACTACAGCAAGTAATCGGGACTGAAAAGTAAGTTCGTTATATCCGCCAGTTCGTTATAAGGGTGTTCGTTATAACCGTAGTTTACTGTTCTTCCAAACATGGGTGTAAAGTTTCTTTTGCTCGGGAGTCTATGTTTATCGACAAAGATCACGATGGTAGGTTGAGTACTGAATGAAAATAGGTTGGTTGCCGTCGCTTCCTCTTTCATGTCATGTCTCATTACTCTTTTACAGGGGTCGGTGTTGGTGCCACATTAGTTACAGCGTTCGCGATACCATATTACAACATCCTCCTGGCCTGGCCCATCTACTACATGGTGAAGTCCTGCTCTAGCGTCCTGCCCTGGACGACTTGTGGCAACAGTTGGAACACTGATCTGTGTGTTGAAGATGCGAGGAACAGCACCTATAACATTACAGTACTGACAGGCAATGCATCTGATCCAAGGACTGTAGCAGAGATGTGGGACAATGCCACGCTAGCTCACACAGCGACTGAAGAGTTTTGGCAGTAAGAAATTATCCATAAATAATAAATAATAATAAATAATCAGCATAAGAAAGGGTCCGCTGTACGATTCTGACCACAGTAAACTACGGTTATAACAAACTCAACGGGACTTCTAATTTTAGTTCGTTATAACCGTAGTTCGTTATATGTACATATACAGCATGACTACAGCAAGTAGTCGGGACCAAAAAGTAAGTTCGTTATATCCGTCAATTCGTTATAAGCGTGTTCGTTATAACCGTAGTTTACTGTATATCGTTAGCATGTGTTTATTAATCAATATCAATTGGTCGTAATATTGATTGTTTGTGAAATGGTGAGCGTATCCTGCCCCACCGGTGGCATGGACTCATCGAGACCAGATGGCGTGGATCGATGGTCATATTTTCAGTCACTGCTTTGCCTGGGCCAAACTCGATATATGATAAGCTGTAATATAGCTGACTTCAGCATTAAACAACATTCAATGACTCACTCCACAAAATGAATCAATAGAAAATTCGTCATTACTTCTCCGTTATTCACTCAACACTATAACTTTGTGTCATCATCTAGTTTTCACTTCAAGAAAAGCCACAGTTCTATCTATCGCTATTGCACCTTAAACAGGCCCATTTGTTGTTTGTGATATAATGAAAAGGATTAACTCCATGGATTTTGGATACAACGAAAGATCAATACATGCCTGTGTGATGCTTTATAGTCATTCCAATACTAAAATTCATTATCATCCTAATTGTTCCTAGTTATAGACACTGTAACAATGGTTCGTGTAGGTACAACGTGCTGAAGGTGTCAAGTGGCTTGGAGGAGGTTGGGAATGTCCAGTGGCCCATCGTAGGGTGCCTGTTTGCCTCCTATGTTATTATGTTCCTCTGTTTGTGTCGTGGAGTCAAGTCTGTGGGCAAGGTATGTATGATATGGACTTGGACTGGTTGTAGATCGTAGTATTTTACAAATGCTTACGTCTGGCAAGGCCATAATGCAAAAAATGACAATGTTTTTGTCCTAACAAAATTCATAATTTGACCGAACCTTTTCGGGACATTTTCTATTGTTTGGTCAGCATTGAATTTTATTGTTTTGTCACGTGATAAATAATAAATAATTAAGTTCAAAGATTCTTAATACTGGTAAACAATTTCTCGTGATTTGGCAAAGCGGGCGATAACTGGTAGGCCACAACGTGTTTGTTTTCCGATCGCTTGTTGTCATCGTCATTACGTTACTGTTCGTCTTCGTGGTCCAGTGGACAGAGCGTCCGCTCGGAAAGCGGAAGGTCGTGGGTCTTATTTCAGGCCGCGCCATACCAAAAGACGTTAAAAGATTGTACTAGTTGTAACCCTGTCTGGCGCTAGGCTTTAAGGGGGCTAAAACAAGGACTGGTCGGCTCGGAGTCTGTTGAGTGGGGTAGTGCATGCACGTCGCTACATAAGTGCAATAATCTTGAACGCGACATTAAACCCCATTTCACCTCACCTCACCTCACCTCACCTCACCTCACCTCATAATGTTGAAATTATGTGTTAGTTTCTGCTTCATAAACTTGCTAAGCAGGACTTTGCTTTCTTTGTGAGGGTGATGAGTACCTCTTAAACATTACCACCTTAATTTATTATTCAGTAAAGCAAAAGAAACATCCATCTGGGACAGCAATGCTTTACCTTTTGGAATCATATTTTATTTCGTGTTGTCATCTGCTGATACGTTGACTGCAATCATACAGTAAGTCGTTTGTCTAAGAGTGTACATGTTCTATTGTAGGTTGTATATGTGACAGCACTGTTGCCCTATGTACTCCTGACCATTATCTTTATACGGACACTCATGCTGCCTGGCAGTGGGGCTGGGGTTTTATATTACCTCGTACCAGACTTCAGTAAATTGCTACACATTCAGGTATGTCACATTAAAAAATATATAACTCCATGTTGCTACCTACAACGTACACATATTACGAATTAAGAACACCAACATCATGATATGAGTAAATAATACTGTTGATGATATGTTTAATTTTATTTGTCAAATCCAATTTTCAAGTGCACACTTTCTTTTGCCTGGCTGTTTCTGTTGCAAGCAATTCTTGTTTGTACATCAATGGAATCTTTTCTATTTCAATTTTCCACCGGTAATAATTACACACGAGTCATCATTCTTTAACAAATGACATTTACTAAATTTACTGACATTTGTGGGTACATGTTCTGTAACGTGATAAAATTATCCATCAGAATAAATATAAACTGTGAACCATAATTAACGTACAAGTTCCGGGTGAAGGAGATATATGAGCTGGCTACATATGACACAGACATTCATATACCTTGATGGACAGCTCCTATAGATTTGCATGAGTTGAACTTTGCCAATATGAATTTATCTTTAAAAGACAAATGGCACATTTTTTCTGTTGGATAAGTAATTTCAGTGATCCATTCATATAGTTTCCACTCTGTGTTGCCTTTTACACCCAATGTAATCTGTTTCGTTGGATAGTTGAGGCTTGCTTTTGTCTGGCGTTGACGTAATATATTCATAAAACCACATGTTCTGTACAGGTATGGTTGGAGGCGTGTCTTCAGGTGTTTTATTCTCTGGGACCAGGTTGGGGTATGATTGGCACTCCTGCCAGCTACAACAAGTTCCACGAACCCTGTCTGAGGTAACTACATCACAAGATGAATGGTATGGATCTCGAGTACATCGAGAAGATAACAGTGCCATCATTTACCAACGTGAACTTGATTTCAACAATAATGTTGAATGGTATCTTTGTTTCTCCGCTATATGTTAATGTGTTAACATACTGGCGACCCGTGAACATCCGGGGTAGAATAGGTCTTCAGCAACCCATGCTTGCCGTAAAAGGCGACTATGCGTGTCGTAAAAGGCGACTAACGGGATCGGGTGGTCAGGCTCGCTGACTTGGTTGATACATGTCATCGATCCCAAGTGCGTGGATTGATGCTCATGATATTAATCACTGGATTGTCTGTTCCAGGCTCGATTATTTTACAGACCGCTGTCATATAGCTGGAATATTGCTGAGTGCGGCGTTAAACAACAAACCAACCAACCAACCAACCTTCTCATACAATTCCATGCTTCTAGGGATTCCATGATACTGAGTGCAATATCAGAAGGAACAAGTATGTTTTCTGGTTTGGTAACGTTCGCAGTCCTTGGAGTGATGTCAGAGAAAACCGGAGTTCCAATTGCCGGAGTAGTTTCCAGTGGTGAGGATGGCTATAATCTTTATTTTGGAATATGTGTTACGCTAAAGTTTCCTGTCTGCCACTGAATCATACACACTAATCAGTTGTTTTTGTCAGATGGCTCTCTTTTTCTTGTGAGGTGCACTCAATGCATACGTATGGGATTTTGTAACAATAGTTGTTTATGTTTGTCTTGACTATTTCACCATGTCGCTACATATTAGGGTTAAATTTGTCAAATCACTGTTAACGCTACCACGACTGATGTAACTATGGTACCTAAACATTGGTTTACAGTAGCCGTTGCACTACGACAGCATTGTGGAGCAAGATACTGGATGCTTGCAACAGAGAATTACATGCGCTCTTTTTACTCTAAAGATCAAAATTTCTAGGGGCGGTCGGGTAGCCAGGTGGTTAAAGCGTTCACTCGTCACGCCGAAGACCCGGGTTCGATTCCCGACATGGGTACAATGTGTGAAGCCCATTTCTGGTGTACCCCGCCGTGGTATTGCTGGAATATTGGTAAAAGCGGCGTAAAATCAAACTCACTCACTCACTCAAAATTTCTAGTGGTTGATTGTAAGAATTATATTATTATGGCCTCTTTGTCATGGTGACACTCGGATCATGCACCAAGAGTAAGAATCATGCGTTTGCACATGCATTTCTTTTCACAAAAGGTCCAGGATTGGGATATGTAACCTACCCCGAGGCTCTCAGTCAACTTCCATTTCCTCAACTGTGGTCATTCATGTTTTTCCTGATGTTGTTAACCGTTGGACTAGATTCCCAGGTAGGATCCTGCAAACTGTTCATTATAATAAAACGTCAAAAGCATGAAACTCTTATGAGTTGATATAAGGAACTACCTCCTGATCCAGGGGCGGTCGGTAGTCAAGTGGTTAAAGCGTTCGCTCATCACGCCGAAGACCCGGGTTCGATTCCCGATATGGATACAATGTGTGAAGCCCATATCTGGTGTCCCCCGCCGTGATATTGATGGAATATTGCTAAAAGAGGCGTAAAACCATATCCTGATCTGATATTAGGAAACATCTCCTCATCTGATATAGGAAATTATCTCCTGATCTGATATAATGATATACTTTCTGATCAAATATAAGCAATTTCCTTCTGATCTCACATAAATCAACAAAACATCACCGCCAGAAAAAGAATCATTGATACAAATTACATGAATTAATCAGTACTGACTCCATGTCTTCAACATAAGGAGTTCCCTACTGGAGTCAGATGACTTACCTCCTGATCTCTCGTAAAGACGTACCCCCTGATTCGTTGTAAAAACGTACCTCCTGATCTGTTGTAAAGACGTACCTCCTTATCTCTTCTAAAGACGTGCCTCCTGATATGTTGTAAAGACGTACCTCCTGATCTGTTGTAAAGACGTACCTCCTGATCTGTCGTAAAGACGTACCTCCTGATCTGTTGTAAAGACGTACCTCCTGATCTCTTGTAAAGGCGTACCTCCTGATCTCTAATAAAGACGTACCTCCTGATCTCTTGTAAAGACGTACCTCCTGATCTCTTGTAAAGGCGTACGTCCTGATCTCTTGTATAGACGTACCTCCTGATCTCTTGTAAAGACGTACCTCCTCATCTGTTGTAAAGACGTACCTCCTGATCTCTTGTAAAGACGTACGTCCTGATCTCTTGTAGAGAGCCTCCTGATCTCTTGTAAAGACGTACCTCCTGATCTCTTGTAAAGACGTACCACCTGATCTCTTGTAAAGACGTACCTCCTGATCTCTTGTAAAGACGTACCTCCTGATCTGTTGTAAAGACGTTCCACCTGATCTGTTGTAAAGACGTGCCTCCTGATCTGTTGTAAAGACGTACCTCCTGATCTCTTGTAAAGACGTACCTCCTGATCTGTTGTAAAGACGTACCTCCTGATCTGTTGTAAAGACGTACCTCCTGATCTGTTGTAAAGACGTACCTCCTGATCTGTTGTAAAGACGTACCTCCTGATCTGTTGTAAAGACGTATCTCCTGATCTGTTGTAAAGACGTACTCCCTGATCCGTTGTAAAAACGTACCTCCTTATCTCTTGAAAAGACGTGCCTCCTGATCTGTCGTAAAGACGTACCTCCTGATCTCTTGTAAAGACGTACCTCCTGATCTCTTGTTAAGACGTACCTCCTGAGCTGTTGTAAAGACGTACCTCCTGATCAGCAGCAAGCTTTATGTACAGTCACACATCAATGTTTTCAGCAAGCTTTATGTACAGTCACACGTCAATGTTTTCAGCAAGTTTTATGTACAGTCACACGTCAATGTTTTCAGCAAGCTTTATGTACAGTCACACATCAATGTTTTCAGCAAGTTTTATGTACAGTCACACGTCAATGTTTTCAGCAAGCTTTATGTACAGTCACACATCAATGTTTTCAGCAAGTTTTATGTACAGTCACACGTCAATGTTTACAGCAAGTTTTATGTACAGTCACACGTCAATGTTTTCAGCAAGCTTTATGTACAGTCACACATCAATGTTTTCAGCAAGTTTTATGTACAGTCACACGTCAATGTTTACAGCAAGTTTTATGTACAGTCACACATCAATGTTTTCAGCAAGTTTTATGTGCAGTCACACATCAATGTTTTCAGCAAGCTTTATGTACAGTCACACATCAATGTTTTCAGCAAGTTTTATGTACAGTCACACATCCATGTTTTCAGCAAGTTTTATGTACAGTCACACATCAATGTTTTCAGCAAGCTTTATGTACAGTCACACATCAATGTTTTCAGCAAGTTTTATGTCCAGTCACACATCCATGTTTTCAGCAAGTTTTATGTACAGTCACACATCAATGTTTTCAGCAAGTTTTATGTCCAGTCACACATCCATGTTTTCAGCAAGTTTTATGTACAGTCACACATCAATGTTTTCAGCAAGCTTTATGTACAGTCACACATCAATGTTTTCAGCAAGTTTTATGTACAGTCACACATCAATGTTTTCAGCAAGTTTTATGTACAGTCACACATCAATGTTTTCAGCATGTTTTATGTACAGTCACACATCCATGTTTTCAGCAAGTTTTATGTACAGTCACACATCAATGTTTTCAGCAAGCTTTATGTACAGTCACACATCAATGTTTTCAGCAAGTTTTATGTACAGTCACACATCCATGTTTTCAGCAAGTTTTATGTACAGTCACACATCAATGTTTTCAGCAAGTTTTATGTACAGTCACACATCAATGTTTTCAGCAAGTTTTATGTACAGTCACACATCAATGTTTACAGCAAGTTTTATGTACAGTCACACATCAATGTTTTCAGCAAGTTTTATGTACAGTCACACATCAATGTTTTCAGCAAGTTTTATGTACAGTCACACATCCATGTTTTCAGCAAGTTTTATGTACAGTCACACATCAATGTTTTCAGCAAGCTTTATGTACAGTCACACATCAATGTTTTCAGCAAGTTTTATGTACAGTCACACATCAATGTTTTCAGCAAGTTTTATGTACAGTCACACATCAATGTTTTCAGCAAGCTTTATGTACAGTCACACATCAATGTTTTCAGCAAGTTTTATGTACAGTCACACATCAATGTTTTCAGCAAGTTTTATGTACAGTCACACATCAATGTTTTCAGCAAGTTTTATGTACAGTCACACATCAATGTTTTCAGCAAGTTTTATGTACAGTCACACATCCATGTTTTCAGCAAGTTTTATGTACAGTCACACATCAATGTTTTCAGCAAGTTTTATGTACAGTCACACATCAATGTTTTCAGCAAGCTTTATGTACAGTCACACATCAATGTTTTCAGCAAGTTTTATGTAACGCTTCACATCAATGTTTTCAGCAAGTCTTATATAAAACCATCCGTCCATGTTTTTAGTTTATGGGGCTGGAGGTCGTCACCACTGCCATTGTGGACCAGTTTCCTCGAATGCTTGTCAACAAGCGGTACCTGGTGACTGGCGCTGTATGTCTGCTGGACTTTCTGTTTGGAATTTTGCTTTGCACTCAGGTAATTTGTAAATTTGCTAATATGAACGTATCTACGTAGGTTCATTGAAAAATCAAGGTATCACATCATATCTTTAAACGGTAAAACCTACACAAGAAAATATCATTCTACAAACCTGTTGTTTTCAATTCTCTTGTTTTATAGGGAGGACCATACATCTTCCAGCTATTGGACTGGTACATCAGTGCCTTTTCTGTGTTTGTGTTCTGTACTCTGGAGTGTGTTGCAGTTGTGTGGATATACGGTGAGTTGGCTGGTTGGTTGGTTGGTTGGTTGGTTGTTTAACGCCGCACTCGGCAATATTCCAGCTATATGACGGCTGTCTGTAAAAAATCGAGTCTGGACCAGACAATCAAGGGATTAATATCATGAGCATCGATCCACGCAATTGGGATCGATGACATGCTTCAATCAAGTCAGCGAGCCTGACCACCCGATCCGTTAATCGCCTTTTACGACAAGCATAGTCACCTTTTACGGCAAGTATGGGTTGCTGAAGACCTATTCTACCTATTCTACCCCGGATTCCACTGTTGCTATGAGCAAGCTCTGAAAGGACTTTCAACTATAACATATAGAATTGCAATGCAACTAACCATCATGCCACGTGCAAATGGCAGGAAGTTGCTATGATATGAGAAAAGGTGCATATAGTTGGGTTTTTTATGAAATTGATATACAAGTACACATTACGAATAACACGGCAAACAATAAAAAGGTGCAAAAGAAGGAAACTTGTTCTCTGTTTAACGCAAATGAGCTGACGCGTCATCTCTTGCTACTTTTAACATTCAACTGGACGGAATTGGTCATATGTAAAAATGTATTTCTTTGTGTTATTTTAGGCATTAAGCAAATCAGTACGGATATTGAAATGATGCTTGGAAAACCCCTGGCAAGACCAATGCGGATCCTTTGGGCTTTTGTGACACCAGCAGTGCTGATTGTAAGTAATGCAAGGCTATAGTCAGTATAGTGAGTAAGTGAGTTGGGTTTAACGCCGCTTTTAACAGTATTCCAGTCATATAACGGCGTGTCAGCTTAATGTGGGAGGAAAGCCCGAAGTGATGCAGGTGTCAGACGTTTACCACTTCGGTGAAACCCACGAGCACGGGTATGGTGCTGACAAACCTAGAAACATAATCGGGGCGAACCGGGATTCGAATCCACAATCCTCGGTTTCTGGCGTGCCCAGGGGACGCAACTCTGCACAGCGAATCGCGGCGCCTTAGACGACTTGGCCACCCGTGCCCCCTATAGTCAGTATAGAGGCAGTATGTTTGGTTTTTCGCCTTTTTGAACAGTATCTAAAACTATCACGGGGTGACGCCTTGGACGAAAACACCGACGAGACGCAGACCAAAATAGTTTGGTCTTTATAGCAGAACCAACAAGCAATGTTACGATGCAAACGGGCCAAGAATAATAATGGAGGTAATATGGAATTCGAAACTATAACCAACGGATCCTGAAGAATTGTTTCCTTGTCTTAATGTACTTAATAAATAAATTTTGCTCTACCTTCATGTGTAGTGTAATAAAAAAAAGTTTGTCCCTGATTCTTGCGTCCGAGTGATGGGAACATAGACGAAGTACTGTGTCGCTGGTTGTGGTGAGTTTTGTCTTAAAAGCTGCAACCTTGTATGTTCCACTGAAGTCAGAAGACTGCAAAGACATGCAACAGTGTGCGAACTGAGTTGGTTTCACAACACGATATCGTAACCGACTTGGATTGACAGTGTGGGGCGTGATGTGGCGTCGCGACCGCCGTAGTACGAACACGAATGAATGAGTTGGGTTTAACGCCGCTTTAACAGTATTCCTGTTACATCGCTGCGTGTCAGCTTAATGTGGGGGAAAAGCCTTAAGTGATGCAGGTCTCAGACATTTACCACTTCGGTGAAACCCAAGAGCACGGGTATGGTGCTGACAAACCTAGAAACATAATCGGGACGAACCGGGATTCGTACCGACAATCATAGGTTCCTGGCGTGCCCAAGGGACGCAACACTGCTCAGCGAATCGCGGCGCCTTAGACGACTGCACCAACAAGAGCAACAACGGTCGTTTTGTTTGACTGTATTATATTGCTATATGCCTACGCTGAGCAAAAGGTGTACATGTAGTTATGAAATGATTCAAGGATTACTCATTCCTATGACGAGACACAAACATAATTCATAGGGCAACACAATGGTTGGAATAAGTTGAGATCAGCCCGCGGCATTATTGTTTGTTTGTTGTTTAACCCCGCACTCAGCAATATTACAGCTATACGACGGCGATCTGTAAATAATCGAGTCTGGACCAGACAGTCAAGTGATTGACATCATGAGGATCGATCTACGCAGTTGGGATACGATGACATGCAACAACCAACCCAGCGAGCCTGACCACCTGGGCATGATCCCGTTAGTCGCCTTTTACGGCAAGCATAGTCGCCTTTTACGGCAAGCATGGGTTGCTGAAGGCCTCTTCCGTCCCCTGATCTTTACGGGTCCCCGCGGCATGAGAGATGGTTGACATGATTATGCCCTATTTCGTTCCAAGGAATATAATTCAAATATTCCACAAGTCTAAAGAAACTATTCCACCTATTGATAATTGATGTGGTACACCATCATGATTAACAGAACTGATCGAACAATGTTGCCATGAATTCGTTAGATCACGGGGGAAGGTCATTTGAACAGCGTTCTGACGTCAGTCCATTATGACGTAACTTAAAACGTTTACTTTATCGCAGGATAAAGTTCAGTCGGCGTCGTTGATATTTCAGTGAAGCATCTTAGATTGTACGTTGTCCATATTGTCTGTATACCTGTATTTTGTATTCTTCTATTGTAGGCTACTTTGATCCTAACACTTTTACGTTACGAACCACCGACCTACGGCAAGTACAAGTTCCCTGCCTACGCCAGTACCATAGGGTGGTTCGTTGCCACATTCACGCTCATCCCTCTGCCAGTCTTCATGGTCATATCTGTGAAGCAGCACCTGAACCAAAAGTCAGTAAGAAAGGTAAAGTTAATGAATATTTTGACTCTCAAACAATCATGTGTCCATACCGTTTGTGGAGTTTCTGGGACCTGAATCCTTCAGTTAGGTGACGATTCATTCATTTATTTGTAGTCACAAAGGGTATGTTTCCTCAAAAGCTGAATGTCGTTAAAAGCACTGCCCATAGAACATTCTTACCATTGATTCCGTTTTTTTCCGCAGCAGTGTGTGGAGTTTCTTGGACCTGAATCCGTCAGTTAGCTGACAATTCATTCATTTTTTTGTGGTCACAAAGTGTATGTTTCCTCAAAAGCTGAATGTCGTTAAAAGCACTGCTCAAAGAACATTCTAACCATTGATTCCGTTTTTCCACAGCAGTTAAATTTTTGTTTGACTCTTTGTAATCAGGTATTTGTTTTGAATTAATTTATTCTAAACAATACTTGATTGTTTTACCTGTATACCCTGAAAACAATATCCTAAACAATTGCTCGAGTCTAAAAGATAAAACTCTAAAAGATAAAACAATCTTTTTAAAGGGATATTCCACTGAAAACTAATATGAAGTGTATGAAAAGCAACCTCATTTAAAACACAGTGCTCGAAAGATGGCCGTATTTAATTTCCTTTCCTTGATATATAACAAGTAGCACGATGAATTGCTATCACGATACATTCTTGAAGAAATCCCAGCGCTTGGTTCCAAGATGGTGAAATGAGGTTTGACGTCGCGTTCACGATTATTCCACTGATTCAGCATCGTGCACTGCTTACATCGGTCGGGACATGCTGGTTTTATGGTGCTCGTCCACTGGGATAATATGCCGCAGTTTAACATGGCTTCCCCGCTCAGACATATCATACTGACTAAGAGCCGACCAGTCCAGGGCCCACTTGCACTAAGCGATCTTAGCGCTAAGATGATCTTACCTCCCATACTTTAACATAGGCTTGCGATAGTCTTAGCGCTAAGATCGTTTTGTGCAAGTGGGCCCTGGTTCTATCTCCCTATTGTCGAGCGCCAAGCAGGGAAACAGAGCGTATCTCTTATCAGTTTAGATACGACGCGGCCAGCGGGCCAGGTCTGAATTACAGGAATGAATTATCCAGTGACTGACATCATGAGCATATAGCCACGCTATTGAAATACGCTGACATGCATCAACCAAGGCAGCGAGCCTAACCACCGGATCCAGTCAGTCGCCTCTTACGACAAGCATAGTCGACTATCATAATGTATCCAGTATGTATCACCATTGACTTAAATATGAATAAACCATTATTAATAAAAAACCTGCTAAATTTCAGATCATCCATTCTGCCATGAGACCTGATGACAAGTGGCTGCCATCGGATGTGCGCTACAGGAAGGCATACCGAGAAAACATAGTGAAGGCAAATTATTCCATGAGAAATAACATAAAAGATATTTTCGAAAAATAAGGCGTCATTGACTACATGGCATTGATTACAGGCTATGTACACCAAGTTTGAATCCTACCATGAATGAAAAATTGTGTTCCATTGGTTTGGTATTGTGTAAATGGTGCAGAAGGTATGTTTATTGCTGTTTATATTACTTCCATATCTTATAACTAGCGGGGGCACGGGTGGCCCAGTCGTCTGAGGCGCGCGACTCTCTGTGCAGAGTTGCGTCCCTTGGGCACGCCAGAAACCTATGATTGTAGGTTCGAATCCCGGTTCGCCCCGATTATGTTTCTAGGTTTGTCAGCACCATACCCGTGCTCGTGGGTTTCATCGAAGTGGTAAACGTCTGACACCTGCATCACTTCGGGTTTTCCTCCCAAATTAAGCTGACACGCCGCGATATAACTGGAATACTGTTAAAAGTGGCGTTAATCCCAACTCACTCACTCACTCACTCTTATAACTAGCAATGTGATGTTCAGACAGTGAAAAAGGCTTTTTGGTGCAATAGCCTTCACCTTGTATTTCGACCTTGAAAAGGCCACGCAATTTGTTATCAGGAAGTTTTAAGTGAGTACGGCTGCAAACTGTTTGTAAAAACATTCCAGGTTTATCATAGCATATTACCCAGCAGTGAATGCTTGCACGGTAGGATGAAATGGTGATGTGACTGTGATCCTTCTAGAGCCTGCCAGGTAGCTTTGGTTGTATACTCCCAATGTAGCTGAGCATTAAGATCGACTGCACACTGATCCATTGACCTGGGTAATAATGTAGCACTTTGAGCAGGCTTAAGGGTGTGAATGTGGTGCACATAAAGAAACAACGTCATCGGTAACTTGGCAACGGGGGAATCCCCAAGCAGCAACACAAGACTCCAGATTCCTTACCAACAAAACGTGACTTTCCCAGATCCGATAGTCAAAGTGTCACCACCATAGCCAATGACCGCTACACCGGGTTCGTCTCCCGGGTGGCAAAATACCACCACAGCCTTTACAGTATCTGCTAAACGGGTTGTTCGAGTTGTCATTTTGACAAATATTGTTGACTACAAAATCGTGTCATGTCAATGTGGGCTCACCTGCGATGGACAACGGTGTGGTTTAGCGTTGTCACAGGACTGAGACCAGGGTGTCAGTAAACAAGAATAAAGTAATAAAATGAAAACGGTGTAATAGGTTCACAGTGTTATTACTATCAGCTAGTTGTAAACATAGATGACAATGAAAAGGATCAAAATTATAATGGTGTACAGCAGGGTGAGACTTAAAAAGGTATCTGTCTGTCCCTCTGTGTGTCTGTCTGTCTGTCTGTCTGACTGTCTGTCTGTCTGACTGTCTGACTGACTGAGTCCTGCTGATCACATCAGACACAACACCACAATGCACATATTGACCACACCGACCAACTGTACCGACTTTCTCTCTACCTTTCACACCTGCTGTAGCTGAACAAAACCAATTGCCGACTGCCATTGCCATAAGTATGTCTACCATACTGACCACGATTGCAGTGATTGAAATTGGCATTACTATGGAAACCTGAATTATTGCGAGAAGCGCCACTACTTGTGTACTGAACCATGTGTAAACTTCCCCACTTTCTGATTTAACAAGAGTAGTTTCAAACCACGCGGAATTCAATCCTTGACCTCTGCTAACACCATTAAATCTCTAAGCTCAGATTTGGTTGGTTGGTTTGTTGTTTTACGCCGCACTCAGCAATATTCCAGCTATATGACGGCTGTCTGTAAATAATCGAGTCTGGACCAGACAATCCAGTGATTAATGTCATGAGCATCGATCCACGCATTTGGGATCGATGACATGCATCAAACAAGTCAGCGAGCTTGACCACCCGATCCCGTTAGCCGCCTCTTACGACAAACTGACAAACCTAGAAACATAATCGGGGCGAACCGGGATTCGAACCCACAATCATAGGTTTCTAGCGGGCCAAAGGGACGCAACTCTGAAACAGCGAATCGCGGCGCCTTAGACGACTGGGCCACCCGTACCCCCCTTGCATGTAGAAAACCATGGGTAGGTTATTTACAGGCCGCTATCATAACCAGAAAAAGCTGAATGAACACCAAATAATCTACCCTGGGAAATGGATTTAATTTATCATATTTGACTTTGATAACCTAAATCAATATATGTAATGAAGGCTAAGACAACACTCTTTTATTTTAAATACGGATATGGATTGATCCAACCAAAACCCAAAGCCACAATAAAAAAAATAACAAATTTTAGTCTTTTTCCATTTACCTGACAGCTCTATTTATGGATTAGATGAATACAAAGGTACAACATCAAGAATCAAGTGTTAATATTATTTAATAATAATTGATGAAAAGCACTCAGAACCTGGCCATTCACTCAAACAGAGAACTGATGAATCTTGGTGTTGTCTATCCATCTTCGACCTCGGCGAATGTCATTTCACCTTGA